CCCATTAAAAATGGTGGATCTTTCCATAGTTTTTTGTATGTTTACCAGAGGGTAGCACCCAACATCGTTGTTTTTTTGTTTTGCCAGGGCCTCTCCAAGGTTTGCCCTGTGCCCATGTTCATTCACGGGCTGGCCCAATTCGCATGTGCATATCGGGTATTCCCACGTGAAAAAAAAACCCGTCTCAATATGGAGATGCTCCACTCTATGGCACATGTTACCCTCTGGGAAACGAATAAAGCTATGGAAAATGTCCGTTTATAGTTGATTTACCCATTAAACATGGTGGATCTTTCTATAGTTATGTTACAAATTACCAGAGGGCAATCAAGAAAATCATGATTTTTATCTGCTATATATATATATCATTATGCCATACTATCATCTGAAAAAAAAACAAATCAAACCTGCTACCCCATGGTATCCCATCCTGCCCCGCGTCGACTGCCAGCGCATGCCATGCTTGGACGAAGTCCTGGGCGAAAGTTCAAACGACGTGGGTTGGCGCTTGGGCCACCTATGCCATGAATATGAAAGGCATGTAGGATCATCATCATTGTCCACTAATAATCATCAATAACCATTAAAATCAACCATTAATAACTAGTACTAACCATTACTAGCTAAATCATCATCTTCATCATCTTCAATAATGATAGTCATATATGATAGTGGATATTAACACTAATAATATAGTACTACTATTATCGATAAATATCATCATCATCATCACCACCATAATCATCATAATCATCATCATCATCATCAATAATCAATCATCAATCATCAATCATCATCAATCATCATCAATCATCATCAATCATCATCAATCATCATCATCATCACCATCATCATCAGCATATTCATCATTCATCATTCATCATCAGTCTGGAGACTCAGAACACTAATTATAGAGAACTGCTTCTTTCATCACAGTTGAAAGCACCAACCGTCGTGATCACAAATGAAATTGACTAGACATGCTACCTGATAGGGCGATCTACTCAACCTCACCACATGACTTTCAGCTTCACCGCAAAGCCCATATAATTCGGCCTGGAAAAACTGGGAAAATCCACAACTCTGAGACGTGATTTTCGATTGCACCTGAAATGGTATTCCCTTTTAATCCCATTCAAAATTCCCATGTTTTTTCCCATCAAACCCTCTGGTTATTTAACATAGCCATGGTATAGATGGCCCATTGAAATAGAGGTTTACCGTTCTTAAAAATGGGTGGATCATTCCATGGCAAACTGTTAGTCATAACCAGCGGGTAATTCCCATTAATCACCATGAAAATCATGGAAAAATCACCGTTAAATCACCATTTTCCTATGGTTTTCCCATGGTTTCCCCTTACCTAACCATCTTTCCACAGAGAATTTTCACCGCGCCTCGTGGGACGCATCAAAGCCTTCATATGCTCTGGACAAGGAGCTCCACATCCAGTCCTCGCTAATCAATCCCATCCCGATAAACCGAGGGTTTGACCATCCAGGGGAAAACCCGATTTCACCCAAAAACCATGGAAAAATCACCATTTTTCAAAGGTAAACATGGAAAATCACCATTTTGTAGCTGGGAAAATCCACGATTTCTATCTCCAGGTGCTAGTTTAATGGCTTTTTAATGGTATACCCTCTGGTAATTTGTTACGTAGCTATTGAAAATGGCCCAGTCGAAATAGTTGATCTACCCATTCAACATGGTGATTTTCCATTATTTTCCATAGTTAATATATGTTAGTTTACCATTTTTAAGAGGTATATAAATCAACTATAAATGTGGAACATCACCATCTTTAAGAACGGTCAATCAACTATTTCTATGTGCCATTTTCAATTGCAAACTGTTAAATTGCCAGAGGCTTTGGGCAGATAACTGTGACACTACACTATGACTATGGGATATATATATAGTACATATAACTTTTCAAAAAAAAACACTATGGTTATTAATCACTGACTGATCTGATCTGATTGTTAGATGGGACACATATCCACCAACATGTTTATTACAATGTGGGTCAATATGGGATAAAACGCTGACTAATATGGTGATATGGTGACTAGATGAAAACATTTAAAAACATATTACAATAAGCATCAAGAAATAACCACCAATATGGGGAAGATCGTGTAAGATCAGGTGCGCTCTGGTAATTTGTTACATAGCGATGGCAGAACATGATTTTGTTGAAAATATATGGGATGAATCGGGATGATCGAACCATAGGAGGCTGTTCCAATTGCCATGTGAAATTACCCTCTGGTTATGTCAAAATAGCTATTGAAAATGGCCATTTATAGTGAGTTTTCCCATTAAAAATGGTGATTTTCCATAGTTATGTTAGTTTACCAGAGGGTACTCTGGTTGGTGGTATATCAACTCCTCTGCAAAATCATGGAGTGAGTAACAGTTGGGATGATGACATTCCATTCCCAATATGATGGAAACGTCATCCAAAATTCCCAATTGTGCCAGTCACCACCAAGCAGTATACCATCTGGTTATTTAACATAGCCATGGAAAATCACCATTTTTAATAGGTAAACCATCTATTTCTATGGGCCATTTTCCATGGCAAACTGTTAAATAACCAGAGGGTATCTGAAAATATCTACCCTCTGGTAAACAGCCACATAACTATGGAAAATCACCATTTTTAATGGGAAAATCCACTATAAATGGTGATTTTCAATAGCAAACTGTTAAATAACCAGAGGGTACCCTCTGGTAAACAGCCACATCACTATGGGAAATCACCATGCTTTGTAGGTCATCCCAGCCTGGCAGCAGCTTATCCTGGCAGCCCATTCTCGGGCATCCGCTGCGATGGAGACACAGCAAAGACCCGCAGGGCACTAGCCGTTAGTAGTGGTTAAATCACCATTTATAGTGGTTAAATCTTCATATCAGATATGATAGCATTTATAGTGGTTAAATCTCCATGAAAAATCACCATTTATAGTGGTTAAATCTTCATATCATATATGATAGCATTTATAGTGGTTAAATCTCCATGAAAAATCACCATTTATAGTGGTTAAATCTTCATATCATATATGATAGCATTTATAGTGGTTAAATCTCCATGAAAATCACCATTTATAGTGGTTAAATCTCCATTAAATCACCATTTATAGTGGTGAATACCCCCCCATTAGATTGTCAATAACTGGTTGGTGGTGCAAGAACCATCTTGGAAAAATGATGGAGTTCGTTAATGGGAAGGATGACATCCCATATATGAAATGGAACATAAAATTCATGTTTGAAACCACCCGTTAGGTTGCTTATCCCCACGCTTCTACCGTTGAAACTTCGACTTTTCTCCGCGAGACCGCACTTATCGCCCGGCCCTTCGCGGAGATTGGCCAAGAGGCAATGGGATCCCGCCACATTGCAATGATCTTAATGCCTGGAGCGAAGACATCCGGCGGCCCATCCGGAATGAGGCAGGGAAGTGTCCCGGCCGATTTGCAATGTCCCTGCCTGGAATGAACTTGAGGTTCTCCAGGCATTGCTTGCCTTGGGAAATTCAAAAATACCATGTCTCAGGGAATACCTGGAACCTTCACCAACCACTGTCAGTCCCAGTCGGCCTGAAATTTCACCCAAGAAGCTTCCATGAGTTGCCCTTACTTCGCAATGATGTGATATGATTTTGTGGCCCACCAGCCAGAACTCTTCTGTCAACTATGTTCCTTGCTGTAGATGAACTTCGGATTTCGAAATCCAACCTTGGCCAATGGCGTCGTGGGTGTCTGATTCAGATCTCGTCTTGTGGCACAAGATCACAGAAGTGATTTTCGCAAAAAAACATGAGGTTCAAGTTCAATACACCCGTGCGTGTCACTTTTCCACTCCTCCATTTATTGTCAGTGTGTTTCTTTCAAAACAATGTTGGATCAATTTCGACTGTGCGCGTCACAACCCTCATGAAACACGTCGCCACGTCGCAATGGGTGACCTCTTTCGGCTGACAATTTCTCCAGCTTCGTTGCCCGCCAGCACCTGACAACTTGAGGATCATCAACCCCCAGTAACTTGCAAAATGGTTCCAACCTACAAAAATCCCATTTGAGGCATTTGAGGCATGGCATTGTTTTTACCCTCTGGTTATGTCAAAATAGCTATTGAACATGGTCATTTAATGTCATTTATAGTGGATCTACATGGATTTACCCATTAAAACTGGTGATTTTCCATAGTTATGTTCGTTTACCAGAGGGTATAGCGAGTTGAACGGTCCATCCTCAGGCTGCTAACGGCATTTTTATTCCCAGTTTGGCGCTCACATCAAGGTCATGGCTGTTCATGCATCATATCTAGATGATTTAACATGATTTAACCAGTTGGGTGAGTTTCCAGAGCGAAGTCTGAAAAATTACCGGAGTGGACTCTTGGCTATTCCATGTTTGCAAACAAAAATCCCTTCCGCGCATCTCTCTTGGCTTGCGGATCTAGCCTTTCGATAAATCCACAATCCCAAGCATGAAGCAGGTCACTGTCTCTACGCAAAATCCGAACCGCACAATCCGTCTGTGAAAAGCATCTCAAGGTCCGAACATCAACGACCTTCTGGCAGGATATTTTTTTCATGTCCCAATTCATGGCTGATTCATGTCTTGAATTTCCACTGCTTGGTGGTTTCCCCTCTGAAAATATGACTTCGTCAGTTGGATGATGACATTCCCAATATGATGGGAAAGTCATTTTTTCCATTCATGTTCCTAACCACCAACCAGTCCATGTTTCAGGCCCATTATCATCTCGTCTTCATCTAATCAAAAGGGCCACATATCGCTCAACTCCGAAGACCGACCATGCGCTTAGGGCTCCCCATGAGGGAATATGGATAGCCATAGCTCCGGCCACTGCTGGATTTTCCGAATGTGGACTTGGCTGCGACATGAGCCTTGAACATCATATAGGTACCATGTCATCGATTGTACCCTCATGGATTTTCTGGTAAACCCTATCAGAACAAATCAGAACATGTTTTGATGTCAAAACATGTCGAAACCATCTATCTTTAAACACCATGTGTGGTAAACTTCGAAACAAATAGCACAAGGTCAGTAAACCATGGCTTAACAACCTTATGGAATCACAATACTTTCTTTAGTAGCTCCCTAAAACCAGCCTGCTTGAGTATTTTATACATCCTTGGTTCCAACTCCCGGATTGTGTTAGGTGTATATTGGTTGAGCCCATTTGAACCCAAGTATATATGTTCTACCTTAGACCCATATTTGGGCTACATCAACGGCTGCAGGTTGGCAAGCACAGCATTCAAATTCCATATCTAGTTCTATTTGGGGAAACACTTCTAAACCTAATCCATTTCTGCCACTAAATCATACTAAATCTATTCAAATCCCTATACCCCCAAAGTCTTGAAAATCCAAAAGCTGCCTATTTCAATCACCAACTCCAATCTATTTCAATCACCATATCTGACATGTCCCCATTTTTTCATCCCCCTGACATCTCCATTTACCCTCTGGTAATTTAACGTAGCTATTGAAAATCACCATTTTGTAGCTGGGTAAATCAACTATAAATGGATATAAATGGGCCATTTTCAATAGCTTTTTGTTTGTTTACCAGAGGGTCAAGAAATGCCAACGCCAAACTCCTCCATCCCCGACCGCATCGGACCTCCACGTGATGCTCCACGGCCCAGCTCTTGGGCAGCAGCTGAGGCGCAGAGCAGCGCCAGTGCCAGGACTCCACGCTCCGCAGCCAACTGCTGGGAACCGACATCTCCTGACGCGGCGAAGCCCAGGGGCCGCAGGTCGAGCCGCATTTCGGCCGGAATGGGGAAAAAACGTGACGGAAAAAATCCAGGGTTCAGATAGAACTGATGTAGAACTCGGGGGGAACAATCTATGAACATGGATGAGATTTTGAATGTGTTGCCAATCAACATTGGTGCTTGGCATGAAACCGTTTAAGGCCACAAGGAGGCAGCATTTTCCTGCAATCTCAGCATGGAACCCCAAAAATGGCTGGGCAAAACATCATCTGTCAGGGAAAACACGAGAGAGCTACAGTAAAGGTAGTAGTATCAGCACATGTTGTTTTTTATCTCAGGCCATCCGATGGATCGCCATGTGGACATGGGTACCGAATGGTACCGAGCAAAAATTTTAAGGACCCCTAAGATTCAGAAAACCATCTTACCCTCTGGTAATTTAACAGTTTGCTATTGAACATACCCATTTATAATTGACTTACCTATTCAAAATGGTGATTTTCTATAGCTTTTTGTTAGTTTACCAGAGAGTATTCTGTTTAGATGTGGGGAAATCTGAGCTCTTAATCTATGCTCCAAGGCTCATCCAGGCCACCGATGAAACGAACATCCTGAGGTGCCAGATGGAGCCACACATGGTTATTGGGATGGTGGCCATCGGAAAGAGCTGGTTATATCATGGATGTATGTGGATGGTTATTCCCTCAAATATGGTACTAAAATAATTTGAGAATCTCTGAAAAAAAGGGGCATAAAAAAGGGCTACATCTAAGAATTGTTTGGCTATCGCTATCTGTGGTTCTGAATGAACTGATTTGTTAGTTGAATCGTGGCTGGTGCGAACAAGTTGGGGCATAGATCCAGTCTCATTCATGATCATAATCATTTCTGTCTATGTTCGCTTCTACATGTCTCAGCAAGCTTATGAAGTCATGTGCTTTCATGTGGTTGGGAAACTCTATGAAACTCTTAGTAGCTCCTTGGCTCCCTGTTTAGGGAATATGGATACCTCTTGGTGTGGCGAGGCAACGGCCAAGTGAGATGGGTCTTCCATATTTTTTGAGCTAATTGCACGCCCAAAAACAATGTTCATGATGGCAATCAGATATATATATATATAATATAATATAATATAATATAATATATATTATATATATTATATTATATATATGTACACAATATAATATATAATCTCCTGGTTTCTGGCTTGTTCCCCAAACTTGGCTCTGCCACTTTTCGGGCTGCCCTACAGTGCCCTCGAAACGAAACTTACCCGACTGCCCGAGGCTAGGTGGACTCCAGTGACCTGACGAGGCATGGTCATTAGGTGCAAAAAAAACACTTTTCGGAGACATTCAACTCATATTAATGGATTATAATGAATGAGATTGAATCCCATTGAATGAATGAGATTAGGTTAATGAGATTCAGTCATATTAATGGGATTTTGAATGGGATTGAATGGGATTAAGTGGATTTTAGTGGATTATAATCCCATTCAATCCCGTTCAAATGACATTCAATCCCAATCCCATTCAATCCCTAAATTATACCCCATGACGGATCCATGGTGCTGGTATATATGCTAACATAAAGGGGGTATATTGATGGGATCCATGTTACCATATATACCATACATGGATCCTATGGGTATGTAAGCTGGTTGTTCTAAGGGAAAAAACATGGAAAAACGACACCAAAATAAGTTGGTCCTTTGGGATCCCAAATTCCGATGGAAACACATTGGAAAAACTACCCGCCAGCAATAATTGCTTCGCAAGCCGCCCCAAACCCCCCATATGTCACTATTTAAATTCCCCATATTCTCTTATATAAATGCAAAAACATGGCACACGGTGATAAAGCAATGGTTTAGTCGGCCTGGTGTAGGAAACCACAGTAAATCCCCACATTCCGTTGGTTCTACTTCTATATGACTAGACAAAACCATGGGCCCCGAGGTACCCTAAAATCGCTGGTTGAATACTTACATGACTTACATCATATTTCTTTTTTACATTTTTTTACATGGTATAGTAGCTTTCGACCCATCCCCATATGACCATGAACTCTCGTCTGCCATGCATCTGGATGAGCTCCAAGGCTTTTCTGCAAAGAAGAGCTGCCCGAGTTCGGGGGTCCCACCTGAGATCTCCAATAAAATCCCAACTTTCAGGATAAAACACATATAACATCAATGTAATAAATAATGCATGATGAAACAGTTGATCTCACTTAACATAGCATCCCACTTAACACATAATTTCAGAATGTCACATATATATATATATCATATTTATATATATAATATTGATTTACTGTGATTTACGTATAGTGCGCTTATCTTGGCAAGACATATCAGCAGGCGCTCCAGCCAAGTGCCAAACCAATACCACAAAGCACCAGCTGCGGGCCGGGCAGTGCTCCAACTGGACCCAACTTGCAGAAAAACTCATGCGGGGTCCAAGTTTCCTGTCGATTTTCCCCTGAATCAATTATATAAAGTGGGTAAAACGGGGTAAAACAATGCCATCACCATCCCCCAAGGCCCCCTCTCTCTCAGCATTTTTATAGGTGGGATTCAACCCATGAATGGCATTGTTTTACCCACATTCTGCGATTGTCCATGATTTAGAAGACATTTTTTTAAGCAAGCCCTGGCAAACCGGAAAACTCTTGGAACATCTATACCCCCTAGCTGACACAGCTTTCCACAGCTTCCGACTCAGCTCTGCAACCCAAAGGGGAACTTGCACAGTTGCTACCAAAATCGTGAAATCGATTGCCCGAAATTCAGTATTAGCCGGGTAGGAAACACCCATTCCTGGGTAGATCTCTGAAATCAGAGGTGATTTTTTTACAATGCCAAGTGCCTCTTCCTCTTGCATTCCTAGGTCTAGCTGGATGGATGCGGTGCCATTGCTGTCCCGTGTCCCCGGTTGCCCCGGCGCGCCAAGGAACAATGGCAAAGTCCAAACGAAGCTGGGACCAATGGACGATCTCTTGGACTGCCACGCCATTCAAATCGTTCTGGGCGCAAAAAAGGGCGTGGCGCAAGGATTTGAAGGGTCGATTTTCAACCAAAGCCGGGATGGATAACAGAAACTAGGTCGATAATATTTATATATATATATATGTATATATATATATATGTGTGTGTGTGTATGTATGTATGTATATATATATATATATATCTGTGTGTGTGATTGTGTATATAAATATAATTAGATATAATTAGTTCATAAATGGTGAGCCCAATCCTTCCCACTGTATCTATTTTTTTCGTAGCTTTTTTCTGATTTATGGTTGGTCGAATCCCATTATGCTCCCAGCTTCCGACTCGGCGAGTATCTATATCCACGGCTCGCATGCCTGTGACACTTGCCAGGTGGATATATCTCACCAACCTCAGCCATGTGTGAAAGACAGAAAGCGGCGCCAATCGAACTGATTCAGGAGGCATTTCTTGAAATAGGAATCCTTGAAATTTGAGTACCCTCTGGTAATTTAACATAGCTATGGAAAATGGACCATTTACAGATGATTTTCCCAATAAAACCTCCATTTATAATGGATTTTCCATAGCTATGTTAAATTACCAGAGGGTAGATTTAATGATGTTTTCTTTGGCTTCAACCGATCGATTTTCTACGATTTTTAAATGAGTGCAGCTCCAGCCACTCTTCTGCATGTTCTTCAATGGACTCGGCGCTGCACACCTGGTTTATGGTCATCCATCCCCTGCATTTGGGCATATATGGCTATATAATGGATATATAAAAATAAAGCCTATATAATAATGGGTAAATAATGGATTATGGCTATATAATATAATATCTGGGTATATAATATATGGCTATATCAATCTGTATATGAAAATGGATTGATTCTTCCCATCTCCCAAGAGAAACTAACCCAGGATGTTGACACACGGTCCCATAGTAATTCAACTTGCGCATCCCAACGGTTCAACGGTCCCTGCTCGCCCAACAGAAAAACCCGATTCCGATGCCACTGACACAGAAGCTTGCCAGAATAAAACTCATTCATGCAAGCAGCTTGCATAATCTCGCACATAAGTTTCGAGAACTGTATGGACTATAATTATTCACATTAATATATTCACATTCTATTCATGTCTGGTTGGTGGTATACCTACCCCTCTGAAAAACATAAGTTCGTCAGTTGGGATTATTGTCAATATATGGAACAATAAAACATGTTCCAAACCACCAATCAGAATATTAATTATATTCACATATATCTGGGAATTCATGATCTTTAATCTGACAAGTTCGGTCATTTGGGGATGGGTGAGGTCTTTGATCAGACAAGAGGCAGCAGGAGCGCATAGTCCTAGCAACCTGGTGTCGAACCCTTGGAAGCCTGGAAGACTCCAATTTTTGGAAAAATAGAGGGAACATGATGGAAAAATGGCTAGACATGAAGGAATATGACTGTATGACTGTATGACTGTATACTAACTATATTATAATATCATAGTATATACATATATATATATATATATAAAGTCAGTAGCAAGATGGGTACCAAGATGGGTCCATCTCTCATGGCTAGGTCCCACCGGGTCCCACCGGGTCCCCGCACCAGAAATCCAAGCCCAAGACGGGCACATCCGAGCTGGGGGCTGAGAGGCTCAAGGAGAAGCAGCGATGACCACCTCGGGGCGTGGCTCACGGTTTCACGTTTCACGAACGGACTTCAGCGGCGCAACGCGATCAATGGAGTCTTAGTTACAAGTCATATAAATGGTACCCTCTGGTTATTTGTTACATAGCCATGGTATAGATGGCCCTAATCGAAATAGATGGTTTACCTGGGTTTACCTATTAATAGCATGGTGAATCTTTCCATTTGAGGAGAATAGGTCCTCCATTCAGCTTGGAGAAGGGAAGAAATGCAGAGAACTGACCCAGGAAGTCTGAGAGAAATCTACACAGTCAGGGGATCCAATGAATGAAAGTCGGATTTTCAATACAACTAAAACACGCTTTGACATAGCAAACATATACCTTAAAACCATCAAACATACTTCAAACATAAGGTTGAAGCCTGTAAACCAATTTGGCCCTGCTCGACATTGTATACTCTTGAGCGCATTGAGTCGGCATAGCCATTCTATCGCTTATGAATACTTGTCTACGTCGCAAGTGGCGCTAGAAATGTTTCTTGAAATAGAGTGCCCCTTTCAACTTAAAATCTTGGAAATCCCCCTGCCGAACATTCGAGTCAAAGGGCGTTGCAACAGCCGCGGTGCCAAAATCGTTTCAAAGTAGCGGTCTTCCTGCAAAAGAGACTCCCAGCCTATTGTCTCCAATCGTTCCTTTTTATGAAGAAAGATGAGAAGTTTCATGTTTCTTCGAACGCAATCATCTGGATACATTGCACCATTTCACTCACTGCCCGTTTTGGGATAGTTACCCTCTGGTAAACGTTTACATAGCGAAGAAAATCACTAGTTTTAATGGCTAAATAATACACTATTTCTATGGCCATTTGGCTTTTTGTATGTTTACCAGAGGGTACCCGTTACCCCAATGGTACGTGACCATCGACCATCGTCCTCCATGGTCCAGGTGAGGCATGGGAGAAAGATGGCCCCGGCGCAGCGCAGGAAGTCGCCGCAGTCGAAGGTGGCCTGGCGTTGGTCGTCGGCATCGGATGATGGAATTCATGTGGATAAATTCCAATGCCATCTGCACCATCCCGCAGGAAAACCACCATTTTATACGGGACGGTGGATGTTCCATGATGTTCCATCGCTGTCACCCTGCCCCGGCGCCTGGCCGAACGGGATAATATGTAGTTGCAAGGAATTTCTTATGTATTCACTTTAGAATCCAATCACTATAGATATACTAACTATATTATACGTGGCCAATCAAAGAATAATATCAATTATACAAACTTAAAATGTTATACTCTTGTTATTGTCATAGCTATAGAAGATCCGCCAAACCACTTCACGAGGCCTAGCGGCTCACATTGCGGTGGGCCACAACGAGTTCTTCTTCTACAGAAGATGGATAATGATAATGAACCGGGAGCATACACTCACATGACAATCCCAATTACAAGATGCTAGAAAACTGATATTTTCCGTGGATGGTTTTGATGGCCATTGCTAGATTACACAGGGATAGGGGGTAGCGGCCATAGATCGCACCCGATGTGGGAATGATTCTCAAATGACCCATAAGCATTTGGAGCCATCCATTCTGTGATTTGAAGTTCAAATGTTTATGCCTTTCAAAAGCATGGTGTATAAATTCCAACATTTCCAGACATGATAGGGCCCCCAACTGACCCCTACAGGGGTGTCCTCTCCACAAGCAACCCAGGATTCCTAGGAAAATGGAGTTTAGCTGTATGCTATGTTTAACTACACTTATCGCGAACAAATCAATCTTTCATAAAACCCAGTCAAACCAAACATGGACAAACAAAAAGCAAGAATTTGTCTGCTTCTTTAATCTGTTTGTTGTCTCTTTGATTTGTATTATGGGCTCCATGCATGGTTCGATGACATATTCTGGATGAACTATTATTATATAAAATGATCACAAACTTGCAAAACTTGGACCATTTCGGGAGCGTTGCTCTTCCGAATCACCATCATTGATCATCATTTCTAGTGACGTCGCAACGTGAGGCACCTGGGAAGTCACTGCCTCGTATGACAATAGACATGGGTCTACCTGCAAAGTGCCATGAGATTGTGACCAGCTGACATGGTCATTTTTGACGATGGTGGGACTCTTCACACTGGAACTGGTGGTAACTTGAACCTTTCTGATCTTTTTGGCTACTTTGTCGAATGCCCAAAAACCATCTACCAGGTGTGGGCCCCCGTTTAGAATCGCTCGCTGAGTTGGTTGATGACTTGGCTAGGGTATAGGGGGCGATATCGCCAATGAGTTAATGGGATTATAAGCCAACATAGCCACAGCTGAGGGCCCCAGCCTTGAAGGGATTCTTCCAATAATATTGGGACTTCACCAGTGGGCAAGCTGTTTTTTTCAAGTAGGATGTATCATTAGCATTTATATTTAACTATCGGACACATTGGGATGTTTTTTCACGTCTTCTTCATTGAGTAACGCTTGCAAAAAATGCTTCGACCGGCAAACTTGAATAATGATCAACACACTTGAAAATAAGGACTGGAAACGTTAAACATTGGGACTTTTTTTCAGGAATCAATGGGGGGATCGAACAACATAGGACTAAAAAACAGCACCCAAAACCCTGATGTGGATCGATCGTTTTCCAACAAGAACGGCATGAGTATAATATATATATATATGGAGATGAAGATCTGCAACAGAACATACATATACATAAATATACATAAATATCATAAATCAAATTGAATCATAATTCTTGGCATTACAAAAACACAAAAAAAAACACCATCTGGGCCAATGGCGGTGAAGACTTGAGTCTTGGGATACTGTTACCATTTGGTATACCACAATTTCTTGATATCTCTAGAGGTTTTCATCATACTTAAACTGGAAATTCCTGGAAACATGTTGATATTTCCTCGCACATCTTTTTGCCCTGTAAAATATGCAGTTTAGCTGGTCATATGTTACATCCGTATAACAACAAATTCAGTTATATCATATCACTAGACTAGCTACCACCGGTTGGTTTACCCTATATTTTTTGCTGCTGCTGATTTAGCCATTTTATCCCATCCTAAATGGCCCCATAGATGTCAAAACCCACGGCCGAACCAAGGTTTTTCATGGGATTAGAAAAACCATCTGGTTATGACTGTTACATAGCCATGGAAAGATCCACCATGCTAATAAGTTCGGTAAACCGGTAAAGCATCAATTTCGATTAGGGCCATCGACATACCATGGCGAACTGTTTAACCAGAGAGTAACATGATATGTCCATGATACTTCAATGGGAAAATCCACTATTTCTATGGTCATGTTCAATAGCTATGTTAAATTACCAGCGGGTATCTCCCATTAAGTGGATGATAGTGGATTAAAATCCCATTAGATTCCATTAAAATCCCATTAAAATCCCATTAGATTCCATTTAGTGGATTTTCCCATTTAAAATTGTGATTTTCCATAGTTATGTTAAATTACCAGAGGGTAATCACTCTGAAACTCAGAATTCTCAAATTTCCCACCCTGAACCCCGCAGCACCGCCTCGGAGCAACAGCGTTTGGCCGAAAAAGCAAACAGCGGCGGGTCCTGCTCGAAGCAGGGGCTGTGCATCAGTGAGGTGCAACACAAGACCTGCGTTGCGCTGGGGCTGGGGTGGGTGGAAAACGATTGCTTCTGGTTAAAGGCGAAACACATCACCATATGTTGATATATGTGAGTCTTGTCGATTTTTGAGGCATTGTGAGTTTTGAAATGTGTTGAAACTATTTGGGATTGAAACACTGTCGTGAATACACCTCTGTGCCAGCATCAGAGAGACACTCAACCATACCCTGTGAAACAGGACTTGACCAAGTTTGCCATTGCACTCCATGAAAACAAGGGCCGCTAAAAATGAACTATGATCACATAGAATCATCATACCCCAGTTGGTGCTGCCGGCGCTGCCCCCCCAGTTATGTTTGATGGTTTATCAAATTTCATAAACCCCGTTAAACTCATATTAACTAGTTCGCTATACCCTCTGGTGATTTAACAGTTTGCAATTGAAATGGCCCATGAAAATAGTTGATTTACTTATGAGAAAAATGTGATTTTCCGGTTCACAAACTGTTGGTTTACCAGAGGGTATAGGAAATAAACGGAAATATACCAATATTACCTCCCGTTATGGTTGATGGTTTACCAATCCATTAACCAATATTATATGGTTGGTGGTTTCAACCATCTTGAAAAATATGAAAGTCAATGGGAAGGATGACATCCCATATATTATGGAAAATAACATTCATGTTTGAAACCACCAACCAGTTATATAACTAGTTCAATGTACCCAGTTACCCTGTGGCATGTCCGTCCTACGTTTTGTTCCCCGAGGCGCTCGGCCGAGGTTGGCCGCGAAACAGGAATCCGGCACGCCGCCGTAGTGTCGCAGCATGTCCAAGACATGGGCCTCACGACCTTGGTGAAGAAATGGCTGGGAAGAAACCATGGTGTTTCCAGGCGCAAAGTGAGTGATAATTCATGTGTTCTGAAAATAACATGTTCTTTTTTCCTCTAGGCGTGCATATCTGTATAATTGTAATATATATATATATGATTGTATAAATAATGAGCATGCATAGAACAAATGCATGATTTTTAGGGATCTCAGCTTGGCAAATTGTTCTAGGGCAAGCAAAGAGATCTGAACTTTTCAGTGGAACATGGCGGAGCAATACACTCCCAGCGAATTGTTGCTAGTCTGGTTTGGGAAGCGTGGGTTAAAAGTTTCTCTGGACGTAGCCAACTGGGTGGTATAGTGGGTTTGCCACCGTTCCCAGCCGGGACGAAGAGAAAAAGGGTACTATCATGCTGGTGGCCACACATCAAGGTAAGTACAGCAGCAAAAACAAACAAATCGCTACCAACATTCTGGTTTGAATTATTGATGTCAATCTTTCTTGGAGTGAGTATTGCCCTCCGCTACTTCATAACACGGCTTGCTGGAAAATCCTCCATTTAGTTTGATGATTTTCACACTTAGATGCCAGTTTCGCTCGGGGATATCGGGATTGCCATGTTTGATTGCCGGAGGGTATAAGTACAAACCAATGTTGGATGAATATCTTATATAATCCCACCCCCTAATATCAAACACCCCCCCACAAACCATGGTGGCTGTCGGGGGATTTTCACTTAGTTGAGACCATAGAATGGGGGTGTTTGATATAAGAAGGTCTCCCGTTAGCCTCTGGTCATTTCACAGTTTGCGACATAGAACATCGCCATGATGAAATAGTTGATTTACCATCTTTACCTGTGAAAAAATGTGATTGTCCATGGAAATAATTGATTTACCATATGAAAAATGGTGATTTACCTATGAAAAAATGGTGATTTACCTATAAAAAATTGTGATTTCCCTATGAAAAATGGTGATTTTCCATGGTTTTTTGTATGTTTCGAGGGTATCCCCTGATTCCATCTTCCCACCGGCCCCACCTGTGGCAGAGCAGTTGAGCCTTCCCGAGAGCAGCGCGTGCGCGACACCTCGGAGTTGGAGATATATGTTAAATGGATCTATGAATGGATATATCATGAGGATTTTAATGGGATTTTAATGGAATCTAATGGGATCTTAATCCACTATCATCCACTTAATGGATATATACCCTCTGGTTATGTCAAAATAGCTATTGAAAATGGCCATTTATAATGAGTTTTCCCATAAAAAATGGTGATTTTCCATAGCTATGTTAGTTTACCAGAGGTTAATGAGGATTTAATGGATATATCATGAGGATTTGGTGGATGGGTAGATCCAAAAAATGGTGATGCAGCCAAAAACTGGTGGTTACCCTCTGGTAAACTAACATAACTATGGAAAATCCCCATGGAAAATGAGGATTTAATGGATATATAATGAGGATCCATGGGATATGAAATGATATTTTCATATCCATCATACTTATAGAATGTTGAGGAGATTAATTCATGGAATGGAGATGAATGAAGATTCATAGGATGGAAATATCATGAGAACAATGGATATACCATAGCCAACAATGAATTCCAAGGGTTCCCACAAGGCCCACAACTGTGGGATCTGTTGGACCAACCGTTGAGGAATCAAACTTCCAGATCCTCGCTTCACTCGAAACCACAAGTGAGCGTGAACCGGCTCAATGGTTTATATAATATACAAGTATGGTTGAGATATGTTGAGATTGGAATTTCAAGGGCTCAGATTCAGATTCTGGCATTTTCTAAGTCTTGTCCAATCAGTTCTTAGCTCCCACAATTGGGTTCGATACGCGTATGACTACTCTGAAAAACCAAACCTTGGATTCATGAATCAAAATAGATCTACATCATTATATCAATGGGAATTTCAGGATCCAACAGATGGAGGTACGTTAGTAACCGTTAGTACCATATGTTTGGCCATATGTGGGGATATTCCCTTACATAAATCCGTAAAATGAAGATCACCCAGCAACAAGCTTCAGAACACCTTTCAGTCAATTTCAGTCCCAGCACGCGCCAAATCCTCTCGCTCCAGGTCTGAATACTTCTCCGAGAAGGGCAGTGCAAGGCAGCCATCGTTACGCCTTGCAAAGCCGTTTTGAAACGTTGCAGCCGAGCCGACTCAGGGACCCAGGGGCCGTGCTTCTTTGAACCAACCATATCATTTTATGATGAATATGACAGATATATCATGATATATCTAGAACTGATTAGATCGATTAGAATTATAAACCTTCTATGAACAATAAATGAACCAGCTAGGGAAAACATATCCAGGGCAATCCTGCTTTGGTTTTGACAACGATCATGTTCCAAGCTGTCCTAGGTCCCATCTTGCAACTTCATGTCGATTGGGTGAACCCCAAGCCGACAGGATACCGACAACAAAATCCGACCAAAAACAGCAGCAACAACAACCATAAACAACAAGCTACACTAACACGCAAAGGAATGTCAAGGCTCCTGAGTATCAGGTTGCTTGCCAGTAGTAAACGAAAGCAAATCAAAAGGGATCATACATAGAGGGGGTATGAGGCAAATTAATCTGGCACCTGAATCGTAGGCACCAAACCTAAGGCCCATGTAGGCGAGCATCCCAGCATCTCCCAAAATCTACCCAGCATGTTTGTGGATCTCATTGAGGGCCATTGAGGAAACAACTATATAACTACACTCGTTTCCATCGTTTTCCCTATCATGCAGGGTCAATGTTATAATATGTTGTAATCTTCCAGAGGATCTGTAGCGATGCGTATGCCCAATGCTCCAATATCTCCACCCCCCCGTTGCTCGCAGCTCACCATAAGCTTGCCGCCAACCAAGGCAATGCACGCATTGCTGGCTGCCATCAGGGCTGTGGAGGCTAGGCCCAATGTAGCGGTGCGAACGTTAAATACCAGTGAAATTCTCATACCGGAGCATTTAAAATTGAAACAAAACAGGCATTGTCTTTGTTAACTTTAAGTAAGTAAATAAATAAATACATACAAATATATACAAAATATATAATGCACAAAAACACACACACTTGCTCAGAGACAACATATATATATATATATATATGTGATTATGTGTACATATCATATATATATATACAACTACGTAATATAACACATGGAAGGAGTTGCCAGCAACCAGGAAATGCTCCGAACATGCAGGGACAAGCAATCAGGATGCTTTATGATTGCATGAAGGAATAGGCACAAGGTGAGGCCAACTAAATAGCTAAGTTGGTTTGTGACTCGGTTACCAGGGTTTGCAGTGGATATTACCGCAGTTAATGGGGTGTAATTAAAATCCAACAAACATAACTGCAGTCGCCCGACCTTGTAGCAAAGAGAGGAAATTAGGAAAGCTTGCAATGGCTGCGGCTGCACACTCCAAGAAGCAGACCCGTCATGAACTGCAACTCATGAGTTGGGAGCAAACGGCCAAAAACAGTCGGACCAACCAACACGCAACAACATGTAGCAGTCCAAGAGACTACGCCAAATTAGGGACTACAGTCTACAGTAAAGGATCTCTGCCACCAAGGGCAGCCTCAAAGCCATCCCACATATCCCACCACCTTTCCGTTGAACGGGCAGGCAGTCACGACAGGTGACCAATGCAGGAAAAATCATCCCTCTCCATGGTTGAAACGCAACAATCAGAAATGTTGAGAAAGTAGAGAACGTAGCACCTTGCCTAGTGTCAAAGGCTCAAGTGCTCCAAGATAGCAACCTTTATGTCTTATAAGCAATTTATAAGCAATGTCAAGCCTTGAGTTGGGATACAAACATCCCTGTTGTGACATTTGAATACATTTGAGGGGGGATAGGTCGATCAACCAGTGGATTTCTGGTGATTTTTGTTAGGCCCTAGTGGAATCCTGGACGTAGTGGCACATCGCCCCAACGTATATATATAGATTGACCAGCTTCGATGGCCACCAAAACTCAACAAAGCCGTTCATCGACACCTCACCCATCGTCTACATCTACATATGGCAGCTTTACTCATTGAGGACTAAAAATGTCTGGTATCTTCCAACATCCTCTGCTTGAGGCACCTAGTCTTACCTAGTCTTACCTTGGATGATGAACTGCATCAGCACTAAGGGCACCAAAAAGGTAGGCCATCACCCCTCATAATCATTGCAAGGTTTCCACCTCCTTGCATGACCAACCTTCGACAGCCAGCTAAGAAGTTGACGTTTGGAAAGAGAACTCATATTGGAACTGAAATGAGCTGATACATTCATGTACATGTATGTCTGTAGGTCTGTATGTCTGTCTGTCTGTCCGTCTGTCCGTCTGTCCGTCTGTCTGTCTGTATGTATGTAAGTAATATTCATTTATAATTGTTCATACATATTCCTTCACATTCCTTCGACAAATGAATACTTAAAAAAACAACCCATCCTTCCCCGGGCCAAGTGGCGGCTCCCTTGCGGCCTGGCCTTCACCTCCTGGTTATTGGAATTTCTAGGGACCCCCAATGATGTTCACTGACGCTCAACTAGTTGACATGGTTCAAACACGTTCACGTAGGATGCTTCGATCCACACACACACAACACACACACACACATATATATATATGTGTGTGTGTATAACATAAATACATAGATAAATATATAACAATATTATTAATATATATATACATACCCAATGCTAAATCATCATAAATCAGCTCTGAGGCGATCTTTCGAATTCATAGCCATCAAAGCCAGAGGCAGCCTGAGGCAAGTGCAACTGCTTTGGACAGACTTCTGAAACTGAATGTGAAGGTGCCCCTTGGGATTAACGCAACAGGCTCTGCAACTGCCCAATGGCTTGGCGTGGCGTTTTCAAAGCGTGGCTCAAAATATCTCTCCCAGCTGGATCACCCGCTGCCCTTCAAATAGCGACTCGGTGGGTAGCCTGGAATTCAGCCAATTGACGATTATGAAAATTGGATTATCATTGATGGATATTGATGGCCTATGATCCAATATCCAAAATTGACCTATCCTATACAAAAAACACGTGATGAAAATTCTTTACACATGGCACTAGTTCTCGTTTTCAATAAACAGCGACTTTCGAGCCACTGCCAGCTGTCACTCGTCAATTCGACCCATTCTTCGAAGGTGGGCTTGACAAGCCTCGGCATGAAGAAATTCGTCCCGACGTTGGTGAAAATGAGTACAAGCCATTTGCATAGCCATTTTTTAAAAGATACACACACACATATATATATATATTATATATGTATATTATATATATATATATCATTCAGGTCTAGCTAAAACCCATGTCAAAGCAAGCTAAGCAAAGCTGAACCATTTAAATCATCCATTTTGGGGATCCCCCATTTCATGGAAGCATTTTTTTCGGGGCCTCCTATTTTCGAACCAAGACTGCCAGCATCTGAGTGGCCGTGCGGGATTCACCCCAGTTGATCTCTTCACACCAGGGTTGATAGCCCGCCTGAGCTGACAGCTGGGCATAGCCATGAACAAAATACAAATGCTGATTGGTTATGAAATAGTAAGGATGTATAAGGAGTTATACCTTCTGATTATTGGGGATTATAACTTATAATAGCATATAATAGCCAAGATTAGGGAAACCTAGTGGCCAACTACGTAGTGTAATGAGATGGGATAGGTGTGCTCAGGCAGTTCGACTATTTTCCTGTTAATTCCTGTTAATTAATTATATATTATAATAATTGTATATATATATATAAATATAACTATATAGAACACCTGGAAAGTCAAAGGCCCTTACTAGCAGGGCTGTTGAGAACCGCCCTTCCAGGTATCTAACGGCCTGTCCAGGAATCAGCTATATGTTTCTTTGCGTCAGCCAGTGAATCCTGCCTTGTTTTCAGGGGCCGGTGCTGTGCTCGCTGCAGTTGTGAGCAAATTTTGCTCCAGGATGATGGGAAAAACGGGTTGAAGAGGTGATCCAGTGGCACAATTGCATTTTTTGAGCATCATTCATCCCTTTTCCCATCGGGTCTTGCCATGCCAGGGACTACACACAAAGAAAACATGCTAAGATCGCCATCTGCAGGTCGCAGCACAATAGATCATTTCACAGCTGGTTCTTTGAGTTTCAAACACTCCGCCATGGCTTTGCGCAATGCCCATCAAAAAACATGGGTTCTTCAAGCACAATGTCGGAAGATCACGTTTGAACCTGAGATGTTTGTTTGGCACCAACTCAACAAACAACCATTCAAACTTGTGACCGTTGCTTGGGGATGATAAATGTGATGGAGGCTTTCCACATATCCCAAACAAATTTGGCCAAGGCTATCGTGCTGCCAACGCTGTCCCAGGTGCCTTGCCCCCTTTCCTGCCCTGCTTTGCAGACGTCCAGGTAGGGTAGGCTATTTTGGTGAATCCTGCATGCATATTCTATTCCTCGGTGGTTGGTGTTGACGCTTGCACCAGCATGTATTTGCTCACTTATATATGCGTTGATTTTTTCCCCAGAAGGAAACATATCCATTCATGTTTTTTGGCCCATTCCAGACAGCTTTGGTGGATTAGGGGTTTCCACTATTGCTGTGTTCGCGGGGCTGGCACTGCATCATGCCAACAGCGCTGCGGGCTTCAAAGCTCAGTCTCCTGGAGGACAGACTTTGCTCTGAACATGGTGGGTTGGGACTCCAAAAGAGGAAAGGCTTTTGGCAGTCCAGATATACAAAATAATATTATTTGGAAGATAGTTTCAAAGATCATCAATTTGTTACTCCACCCTGTGCTCCTCAATATTCCAGCTGGTAGGATTTCTACAAAGAGGCCCTGGAGGATGAGCTCTACATGGAAAAAAGATGGTATGACCTTGCCAAAGCACAGGCTTTACCAAAGGAGAAAATCTCCAAAAGACTGAAGGCAAACCAGGCCATGTGCCATGTGAGATTCGATTCACATGCATGTGTTATTTTCTGACCCCAAACGCATGCAACGTATGAAATCTCAGGGGGACATCCCAACATTTCTGACCAGGCTCCGTGTTCTTTCAGCTTCGTGAATGTGGGCAACCGGAACACCGGGATAACTACTGAATGTGTGGACCTTCCCTGTTTAAGTTCATGTCCCAAGGTAGGTGTTGTTCAATCAAGCCCCTGTGCCAGTTAGAAGATGACACCAACTATGAGTTCTACCTGGAGTGGCTCCCGCTGTTCTGTGCGGACTTGCCGTACATTTCGGAAATCAAGGCCATTTGGGTCATCAGAATTCAAAACACACTAGGCACTGGAGGATCACGCGATATAATATATGTTGAAGCGCGCGAACACACACACGTACACACACACACACGCATGTGCACATGTGCAGGCATGCATTCAAATACTACGATTACTTGTGTTATGTTTGTGCGTTCTGACGAGGACGTTCTGATGAAGCTGCACGATGAATGTGGCCCCTTATGCCGGGCAAAGACCAAGCTTGAAGTTGAGGACATCATGACACATACCATGCCGAAAACATTGCAACCGTTAGATGGCCATGATGCAGGAGTGGGCATCGGTGGAGGCGCAAGACCAACGGAACATTTGTTCCGCAATCATCTACCTAGCGAGACGCAATGAACATGCCAGGCCTGTTTCGATATCGAATGTGCAATCAAGCTCAGTAGGTCCCGTGTGGTAGAGTCAACTACACGTGCAGCGCATGATATATAATTTAATACCACAATAATATACATTCATGCGAGGCGTGGCCACCAGAAGCTCGAGGACTTGAAGTTCATCGTGCGTCAATTGCGTGGCCATATGTGGGCCAAAAAAGGCTGGGACATGATGCATGCTGGGATTTTTGATTCCGACATCTTTTTAATGATCGAACCCAACATGAGCCAACCAACGAATGATTTTACTGTTTGGCAGGAAAGA